TCAACGCAGACAAGTGCAGGGTGCTGCACCTGGGGAGAAGGACTCCACAGCACACATACAGGCTGGGGAGTTCCCCTCTTGAAAGCATGGAGACGGAAAGGGATCTCGGAGTCATTATTGACTCCAAGATGAACATGAGCCGCCAATGCCAGACTGCAGCCAGCAAGGCCAGCCAGACCTTGTCGTGCATCTCAAGCCGGTCCAGAGAGGTGATACTCCCCGTCTATGCAACTTTGGTCAGGTCACAGTTGGAGTACTGCGTCCAGTACTGGGTGCCGCACTTCAAAAGGGATGTGGCCAGCCTGGAGAGGGTCCAGAGGAGGCTACCCGCTTGGTGAGAGGGCAGCAGGGCACGCCCTATGAGGAGAGACTGAGGAACCTGAACCTGTTCAGCTTCAGCAAGAGGAGGCTGAGGGGGGACCCGGTGGCTGCCTACAAACTCATCAGGGGGGATCAACAGCAAACAGGCAGAGCCCTTTTCTCCCCAGCACCGCCTGGGGTGGCGAGGAACAATGGTCATGAGCTGATGGAGAACAGGTTTAGGTTAGAGATCAGGAGGCAATATTTTACAGTTAGGGTGGCCAGAATCTGGAACCAACTTCCCAGGGAAGTGGTCCTTGCCCCTCCCTTGGGCAAATTCAGGAGGAGGTTGGATGATCACCTGTCTGGCGTCTTGTGAACCCAGCGTTCATTCCTGCCATGGCAGGGGTCAGGCGAGATGATCTGTTCAGGTCCCTCCTGACCCTAGCTACTATGACACTATATGGGTCAGTGTTTACTATTAACAAGAGGGTGAAAACTGATGGCATATTACATACAGTGTGTGTATGTGCTTTTATATTTAGAATCTCAGTAAGAAAATTCTATCAGATTGACAGAATTTTTTTGCTAGAAATAGAATGTATTGATCTCCTGTGTAAGGTCAGCAAAAAGACAGCTGAACAGTGTCTGGGCTGATTTCCATGCTTGTGTTCACATGTTCATGCCAGGTGTAAGACTCTGTTTTTACTAGTTTCTGCTTGTGTGCTTTGTCCTTTGAGAGATGTCCTTCTTAATGTTCATTGTTTCCAGCCTCAAGCTTAGAAAATTGGTCATTTGTTGTGGTCCCATCTCCAGACGATCAAGTTATTCTCAATCTGAAGACTATAATAGATGAATGCGTTCATGGGAGAAACTACTGCAGACAAGTCCTCTGCTTGTATGAACTTTCCAAGGTAAGCGTTCAGTAATGTTTTACCAGGACTGCGGTGGTTTGCCTCAAGCTGTCCCAGAGGTGTATGGAGAATAAATCTATTGCGAGCCCACAGAATGATTTACTTGCAAACTGCTGCATATTGCAGCAAAATACCAGGCAAAAATTACTGATTGGTAGCATGGTCCAGTGCTCGGACGAATCCTGGACGCTGTAAAGCATGGAACTAAACCAAGCCATGTAGATTCCCCGTCTGGCATCTTTAAACTTGGTTTTGATCTGCCTCTGTCTGATTGGTATCTTGAATGTAAAGTACTTCTCAATTAGAGATTTCTAGGCCCAAATTCTATGTCCTCCACACCTGCAAAAGGCTCAAAAGTATTCAAAGCTTGAGGAGATAGCAGCAGCACTCGAGGCCTAGCACAGAAATACCCTCCATGCCCTTTCTGCTCCAGCAGATCTGCAGAAGGGCCAATTCCAGGGGGAAAGGCAGTAAGTCCATGTGCTCTGCTGATCAGCTGGACCAAAACCATGTGTGGCAGAAATAGTAGGCTCTGCTTCTTTTCATATGACCTTCATCACCGATCGTAGCCAGCTCAGTCATTGCTTTGGCTGTGGCTATAGGGTTTTTGGGGGGAGAGTAAATCTGATAGGTGAAGTGAACGCTTCTGCACAGATCTTAGTAAAATGAAACCAAGTCCAGTTTTTTGGAAGGCAGTAAGGATTGCTTGATCATTTTGGTGTGTCATTACATTGAATCCCCAGTTTAGGAAGGCCTCTCTACTTAAGGCCATTGCTCAGTTCATGTTTAATTCTGTGTTTGTATGGCTTAATTGCTTTCCTGAATCAGACCTTTTAATACATCTACAAATCATTGCACTGTTAAAATGTAACTCTAATCCATCTATACGAGTTTTCAAAACTGAATTTCATCTGCCTTGCATTGACTCTTCTACATGACAGTATGTTAGTGTACATCCTCAGTTATCCAAATCCCTTTGGAAAGCACGTTTTCCTGTTTGGTAAATGAAACAGTTACAAGTTATGTATCAAAATTAAGAACAGAGCTGCACTACTGCATGAAATGAAACATAAAAAGGTAGAGTTTGTTACACAACAGCAACAGTTGCAAGTTAGTAAAAAAACGTTGCTGTTCAGATAACCAAGGTTCTGCAAATGGAGGACAGTACCTACTCGACCCCACCTGGCACTGGTGTTTTTCCCTACGTACCATGTTTAAATATCTTCTGTGCCGCTTAGGAACTGAATTGCTCGTACAGTGAACTATCAGACCAGGATTCTGAAAAGGTGCTTCGAGCGATCCTGTCATCCCAGCAGCCTGACAGATGCAAGAAGGCCCAGGTGTTCATCACAACGCAGGGTCTCCCGGCCGAAACTGTGGCAGAACTTGTGGCTGAAGAAATCACACAAGAATTACTGGCATCTTCTGAAGGAAAAGGTGATGGTGGCTGTTTTCCTGTTTTTAATCCCATACTTTGTTGATTCAATCAAGGTTTTTTTTTAAGAAAACAAAACAAAAAACCATAACTTACAATGACTTACAAAAAAAAGTCCTGTTTTATTTTTTATTTTTTTTAATTAGCAAGTCACGCTCGTCGTAACCCCCAGCAGGCTGATTTCAAGGAAGATTCCTCCATGATTATGATTATGATGATGGTGGTGGTGGTTGTTGTTGTTATTATATAGACAAATATGGGAGGGTGGCCTGCATTTTAAAAAGGCTTTTTTAATGAATAACAGGGTTGTTTTACTAAGTAGTGCAACTTGTCTTGAAATGTTTTCTACAGCCGGGTTAGTTTTTGCTGTGGCAGTCACAGAATTTTCCATCTTTGCCATGAATGACAGCCAGCCTTAATTTTATGATCTGGCAAAGAGAAGAGCTGATTCTTAAGCATTAAAGATTGGACTGAGAGGGTCTCTTTGGATCACATAATTCGGACCCCTGCATCAGGAAGAGACTGCACTAAGTTTTTCATAACATTGTTAACCTTTCCTCCAAGAACAACTTTTGCTTATGACAAGTGTCTGTGTATGCACAGGGCAAAAGCAGCTTCTGAGCCCAGCAGATGAGAGTCAGGCATTCCTACAGTTGGCCAAGTTGTGCCAGGATCGTACATTGGTTGGCATGAAATTGCTGGATAAAGTTTCATCTGTGCCACGTGGGGAGCTATCATGCAGTAAGTAAATAGCAAACAATAATTCTTTTAACTGTACAGGCAGCTCTACTAGTTAGTCTAATGTACTCGCACTGACAGGAGTTTGGGGCTGCATGACACATCATGTAGAGTTTGGACCCGCTGCTAATTACCCATTACTGATTTTTTTTCTGAAAATCCCAAAATGTATTAAATAGATATTTAAAAATGTATGACCATGAATCAACCATAATGTAAGGGCTCAGTGCATCCATGCATCAATTCACTGGTATTCATAAAACCTACAGAGAGGAAGATTACTTATACCAACAATAGCTTGGAAATTTTAAGTCAGTACATTATAAACAATACATTAATATTGTGGGCCCTTGTTGCCAAGGCAACCGGCATCCTGGGCTGCATCGGTAGGAGCGTTGCCAGCAGATCGAGGGCAGTGATTGCTCCCCTCTATTCTGCAACGGGGAGGCCACATCTGGAGTCCTGTGTCCAGTTTTGGCCCTCCACTGCAGAAAGGATGTGGACACATTGGGAAAATGGTTGGGGAGCTGGGGGACAGGACTGGTGAGGAGAGGCGGAGGAAAACGGGCTTATTGAGTCTGGAGAAGAGAAGACCGAGGGGGGATTTGATAGCCTTCAACTCCCTGCAGGGGGTTGCAAAGAGGATGGAACTGGACTGTTCTCCGTAGGGGCAGATGACAGGACAAGAAGAAAAGCTAGGGTTAAGGTTACACAAAAACCTGTATTTATCCATTTTTCTCAGAGGGGGATCAATTATTTATGAAGAACCTTCTTTGGTCAGTAGTAGCTGATTGCTGAAAAATATCTTGGCTGCATTTTGAAGCTTAATTATATCATCTCCATGAACGAAGATCTACACAATATGAGAGAGAGGAAGGTTTAAGCCAGAGATGGCCTATTTACTTTTAGAATCACAGAAAATGAGGGCTGGTCCAACCCCCTGCTCCAAGCAGGACCAGCCCCAGCTACATCATCCCAGCCAAGGCTTTGTCTAGCCAGGTCTTCAACACCTCCAAGGATAGAAACTGCACCACCTCTCTGGGGAGCCTGTTCCAGTGCTTTACTTACCCTCCTTATGGCAGTTTTTCCTAATATCCAACTTCAACTTCCCTTTAATATACAGGTTCTATGGGAGTGTCTTCATTGGTATCTTCTCCAGTACACTGAGTAGGGATTACCTGCAGCTGAGACAGTGTTATTTGGGAACACACTTGAGTAAAGTTAAGGTTGCCAGTGTAATACCATAGTCAAGCTAACACACCAAAATTGCCTTTTCCTCAAATTCTTAAAAAAGTCAGGGTAAGCTACCGAAAAATTAAGCCGTTTCTCCACTTCTGTACAACTTTTCATTAGCCTTCTCACCCTGCTGGATTTGTGCTGGGACCCAACCCTAGCTTAGCCCCAATTCTGTTGTGTTACAGAAGGTTTGATATAGAAGTACGGATGTTTTCGTTCTGATCACTGAACTTCTTCATCCCTGATGAAAACTGAGTCGTTCCAGGGGACGTTCTGTCGGTTCTGTAACTTTCTAGAGTGTGTTGGAGTAGAGCAACGCTTTGAATGTGAAGAGGCATTCGAAGTTTTAAACTGTGCTAGTTGCATGATGGGACGGGTTCGTTTGAGTTTGTAGTGCCTCTGACAATGCTTTTTCTGTCCATTTTATACTGCATAATAAACAGTGTATGCAGCCTTGAGTGAGTTACAGTTCAGCAG